TCATTGTTCACCTCCCCTTCCAATTTCCCCCAACTGCCTTCTCCTAACTCCCCATGTCCTCCATGCTATTTGTTATGCTCCACAAATAAGTGAAACTATATGATAATTGACTCTCTCTGTTTGACTTATTTCACTCAGCATAATCTCTTCCAGTCCTGTCCATGTTGCTACAAAAGTTGGGTATTCATCCTTTCTGATGGAGGCATAATACTCCATAGTGTATATGGACCACATCTTCCTTATCCATTCGTCCATTGAAGGGCATCTTGGTTCTTTCCACAGTTTGACAACCGTGGCCATTTATTCAGCAATTTTCTTATTTGTATGGTGTGGCAGTAGAACTGATTAGAAGATCTGTGTGATTCCTTTTGGTTTGAAAGTATTTTAATTTTATTTCTGCCATCACTTTAATATTCATGTATATACATATGTTGTTCTTTTATCTATTTCTTTCCATACAAATTAGCACTTATTGGTTGCTTTTGAATCCAGATCTTCCTCAACTTATGATGGGGTTATGTCCCAATAAATCCATCTTAAGATGAAAATATTGCAAGTTGAAAATGTATTTAATACACCTAACCTACCAAGCATCATAGCTTAGTTCAGCCTACCTTAAACATGCTCAGAACGCTTAACGGTAGCTTACAGTTGGCCAGAATCATCTATCACAGAGCCTACTTTATAATTAAGTGTTAAATACCTCATGGAGTTTATTGAATACTGTACTGGAAGTGAAAGAATGGTTTTATGGGTACAAAGTGGTTGTCAGTATATGGGTTGTTTACCCTTATGATCACATGGCTGGATAGGAGCTTTGGCTGCTGCTGCCCACTATCATGAAAATGTATCATCACATATCACTAGTCTGGGAAAAGATCAAAATTCAAAATCTGAAGTATGGTTTCCTCAGTATGTTACTGCTTTCAGACCATTGTAAATTCAAAAAATCGTGGGTCATAATAAGTCAGGACTAGCTGTAATGACTTTGGTTATTTAGGAAGCTAAGTCCAGAATCTACTCCCCTGAATATAGTTCAGTGCTTTTTTTAACATAACTACTGTCCACCCAATGCCTTTTCTACAGATGCCAATTCTGATTAGAAACAGGTTCTTGGAAGTATTTTTCTAATCTGAAAAGTTTGCTCCATTCCTCTCTTTTGGGCTCACTTTATGTTAATTCAACTCTGTTTAGCATCCTCCTTTCTGTTTTCTGGGGCTCACTTCTCCAAGCCAATGCTTGCAGAAAAGTGGAAATGGAGATTAACTGGTATTCATCTCTTTAGATTCCCCAGTTAGAGTTTCTGCAGCTCAGAAAAGAGATGAGGTGTAAGACCTTGAAATTAATTGGAGTAAATGACAAAATAAGAACTGTCCTATGAAACATTCCATTCAATTTAACTGTCAATTCAGTATTTTTATCTATTATGTCTTACCACTTCCAAAGTTGTAAGTGGTTAAGTTAATTAAAATAGAGGAATTATTGAGTTTGTTACTTGTCCAAAACTTATTTTGCCTAACAGAATTAGAGAACATAAATGAAAGCCAAAAAGAATGTGAAAACAGTTACCCAAAGGATTTATATGAAATGAAGGTATGATTTAGTATTAGCAAGGCCAAGAATCTGTGTGTTATTAAGTATGATAATATGACCTTGATTGCAAAAAGAGAGATACATTGTAATCCACTGCATAGAAATAGAAAATTAGGGCGCCTGGGTGGCTCAGTGTGTTAAGCCGCTGCCTTTGGCTCAGGTCATGATCTCAGGGTCCTGGGATTGAGTCCCGAATCGGGCTCTCTCTTTGTTGGGGGCCTGCTTCCTCCCCCCCCACCACGCCCCCGCCTGCGTCTCTGCCTGCTTGTGATCTCTCTCTCTCTGTCAAATAAATAAATAAAATCTTTTTTTAAAAAATTAAAAATTAAAAAATAGTAAATTAAAAGCACACTTTAAGTGTATTGAAATGTTATATTTCTTAGAGATTCATGGAGTTTAAGGAATTTCAGATGCAGAAACAGTGTTGAAGAAGGGAACATTTTGAAAATAGAGGTTGAGGAGAAATCCTTTGGGAACATGTAAAGAGATGGTAGGTTAGGGCCATCCATCTTGTAGAAATAATACTATAATGATAGATAAAACAGAGGAGGTAATGTTGTGTAATAAAGAATCTGACCTAGCCCAAAGAGAGGTCTGGCCTTTGCTTGCAGCTTCTAGAAGGTAATCTATGTCATACCTCATAGGAGTATCTTTGTTTAGGGTGAGAGCCAGTCACAATGGATTTTAGGGTGGGGCTGGCCACACCTGACAGTCTTAGCCATGCCGGCAAAACCACGTGATTTAGAGGAAGGGGCATTAAGTCACCTGGGATCAGTCCACCTGGCAGCTGAGATCAACCACCCAGGTAATCACTCAGTCATACCCCTGCAATAGAGCCTCTATAAAATCTTTGAACTGCTAAAGTTTGGGCAGGTTTCCCTGGCTGGCAGTACTCTGGGCATATTACCATACACTGGTACATGAAAAGTAACATATCTTGCCTCTAGGGGGAGACACCGGAAACTATAACTTTGGAACCCTCTGTGACTTCATTCTATGTGCTTCTTCCCTTGGCTGACTTTAATCCATATCCTTTCCCTGTGATAAACCATAACCATGAGTATAACAGCTTTCCTTGAGTTCTGTGAATTATTCTAGTGAATTACCAAACCTGAGGGTGGTTTTCAGACAGACCTCCGCGCTCCAAATTTATACTTGGTGTCTCACAGAGCACTGTACCCTCTAGCCTTTGCAGTTTGGGTATCTCCAGGCAACTGACCTGAAGATAGGCTGTAGCACTGACACCTAATGGCAAAATCTTAGAGCTGTGAGATTAATACAAAACTGCCTCAGATGGAAAGCAGTTACGATCATTATAATTTTAGCAATAATTAAACTACTGTTTTTCATTAATCGGATCTTTATCCGTTAATACTATTAATTGAGCCAATATATACAATGAACATCATATTTATCCTTTAACGAGTCTAAGGGATATTTGCTACATTGATAACACATTGACTGCTGACATCAAACTTAAAATTACATAACTCAGAAGTTGCTTGAACACATAGGCAACTAAGAAGTAGGATAAATCTGTTCCCTTAATTGTGACATGCTTTAGTTCTTTCTTTGCATATATCCTTCCCAACAGTGGTAAGTATTTCATAATCCTGGACAGTTACAGACTTTTTAAAAGAGGTCTGGCTAGTTACAATGTTGGGAGGATTTCAGTATCATGGTTACTTTGCAATTGAGTTTAACAATCTTGGCCTTGGTTGTTGACTGGTTGTTGGCCTTGAGAATCTTTTATTGTTTCCTAAGAAAGTTTTAAATTCCATTCAGAAGTTCTCTTTTGGTCCTTGTGGGATCCAGGAAGGACATGGTTTCTAGGCTTGGCGATTTTTGCTTCCTGGCTGACACTGGTCTGGTTGCATCTACAGTCTAATAAATGTCTTCAATTTATCTGATGGTCACAGATAGTGGCTGAAGAAGAGGAGTATGAGTTTGGTTTCTTACAAACGTAAATATGTTTTCTCAAATTATGGTCATTTTTATAAAACTGCCAATTTTAGGAAATGAGCAAATGCTAAGAAACCCCAAGGAAGAAAAACGTTTTTCTAGCAGCCCTGGTTTTTGGGAAACCTTTAAAAGCTTGTATATAAAAAATAAAATAAAAACTTGCATATATTTTAAAGAAAAATGATCTTTTAAAAGATTGTACAAATAATTTTTAAAGACTGCTTCCTGAATTATTTATTGAAATGTAACTTTAGGGTAATTTAAGTCTTTATACCCTCCCTATGTAATATGAATAATTTTTTTTCTTAATGCATTGGGAAAGAAATTGATAAAATTTAATATTTAATAACATAACTAGTAAATAAGGGTAAGCTGATGACATTTTTAAAATCAGATTTTTATTTGTGGCTAATATTCCACTGATACAGATTTTTTTATATTTCTTCCTTATATTAAAAAAAGAAACAGACATTTTTCCCCCACAGAGTATCAACACTAGGGAAAGAAACAGAAACACCTCTTAAGCCACTGGACAGTTTGTTATTTAACATAAGAGAGAACAGTACTATTTTATTAATCCTATAATAGGGTTTTCTTTTATCTATTCTTCTTGCTTATTGGCTGTCTTTTAGTATCTCTCCTCACATGTAAAAAGAGTTTCAAGGGTTAGATTAAGGGCCTAAAGCTTAAAATCATTGGAGACTTGATTGAATTAAAGTGTCTGCACTTCAGGGTGGGGGTGGGGGTGGGGGTAGATCTCGTGTAAGATTTGGACAGAGCTCAAATACCTACAGCTAATGTTTGCACCTGGGGGAACACTACATACACGTGAGGGCTGTAAACTAAAACTCCCAAACTTTATTCAAAAGAGATCCACACAAACTCAAAGATTCCAGTACCAGAGTTAAAGGCATGTCATCTTTAAAAAATGAAGATAGTTTAGGATTGAGAAGAATTAATCAATTGAACATCAAAACTAAGTTTTTTTAAAAGGCAGCATTTGCACATGTGTTAGTAACTGTAATAATAGCGCTTTTCTGTCCAATCCACTAAAAGATTTTATTAACATACATGACAATTATTTGACCTTGACAGGAAACATATGATGTTATGGTGTTTTCCTCTCCGTATCTTTTTTTCCATGTTTTTTGGAGGCTTTTAATCTAACAGTGATTTCCAGCATAAACTTTTGAATCAGATATCTATTAAATCCTGCCTTCACTAATATTAAGCTATGTGACTTTAGGGAAGATAGCCTCTCTCTTCTCATTTTCCTCATCTGTAAAATGTGATAATAATACTATAGTCATTAAAAAAAGTATATCTAATTCAAAAAATTATATCCATGAGGGAATACATGTATAGCACTTAGAAGCATATCTCTCACACTGCTAAACAAGTGCAGGGGTCAGAATTTTGGAACTTTGGCAAAGGGTAGACAGTTCACAAAATAGAAATGATCAAAGCAGTTAAGTTTATGAAGATTTTGGCCTTTTTTAGAGGTTGGTAAGGGGGGCATCCTGTGCAATTATTCATTTTTTTAAAACAAACAGCCCTTGTCTTACAGAAAACTAAAAAACGATACCCTTGAAAGCTTACAATCTCCTTGTAACTTTTACTCTTAAGAGTTCTTCTTTAGAGTGTTACCTTTTCGACATGCCTGGATCCTGACTTTCTCTGCCCTGGCTTATACTGGCCCTGCTGCTTTCTCCAGCATCCAGATGCCAGTATGATCATACAACAGCAAAGAAAGATGACAGAGGTACAGAGGGCCACCGGAGCCAGCCACATCTTTGAAGTCACAGATGCCCCATCAGGTGTCATGTCTTCATTCTCAGCTGTGTGGTTTCTGCTGTTGGACCCCTTGGTTTTATTTAGTAATTGCTTGCTACTGTTGAGTCGGGATGGAATAGGCCTATGAAAAACTTTTGTGTCTATGGGAACAAAGAAAGGAGAAATAGTCTTGTTATCTGGATTATTGATGAAATCAGTGCTGTGTGACCCCATATTTACCTCTGTGGTAATGGAGTTATTCAGGGAAATGAGTTTTGCCCAAGAATCTGTGGTTAATTCCTTGGAATACCTAGTACTGTTTGTGTTGACAACCAAATCTTGATGTGTGGTTGATGATGGCATCTCTGGTGATGGTAGCGTTTGGTTTATCACTGTGGTTTGTTGTTCATCTAAATGCGTAGCTTTTAAAATCCTTAGTCTGTCCCGTGTATTAGATGAGGAGCGGGTATTTAGATATGTGGGACGTGATTGTTCAAAAACCAGCAAATCTGGATCTATACCTGAAAGATAAATAAGGCATCATTCATTTTATTTTTTATTTCAAGGAGAGAATATCAAAGCACAGCTTGGAGAAGTCTTGGGTTTGCCACCAAGTTAGTGAACTAAGCTTAAGTTCAAGTTCTACTATTGCATATTTCTGGAAGTCTTAGAAACATACTGGCTACATTTGAATTTATCTTAACTTTCAAGAACACTTTCTGTTATAAACAGCTGGCTACATCATGGAGGATTCTTTGTGTCTGCCAGGGCTTCTGGGTAACAATAGCCAATGTCAGTGTAAGAATTGCAAAAAAACAGTAACCATTTGAGATATGTAGCATCTTAAAGTTTTTAAAAAGTAAATAATACAGAAGTATAACTGTATTCAAAATCATGAGCAAAGCCCTCTGTCTCCTCCCTTCCCAGTTCCTGAAGGTATTGACTTTGTCTCAGTATTTTCTCTCTTGTAAAGGAACTCCTTTCCCTCTGACTTCAGACACAAGCAAATATTGCTCTTCTGTAAAGGGGAGGGGAAAAACTTCTCAACAGCTTTTCAGTTGTCTCTCCTATCAGTTTCTGTCTCTCTCCCTCTCTCCCTCTCGATATAATGATATCCATTTCCTTTCTTTGTTGTTTGCCTTCTGCCATCTTGTTCCATCCACACTATTCTGTCAGAATTATGCTTCTGAGATAATCAGTAGTTTCCATAATTTGTGGCCACCTCATTGTTTTGACTTCTCTTTTACCCTCATTCCTGCTGGCCATCCTTTCCCTAAAATTCTCCTCTTGTGACTCCCTGGAACACAGACTCTCTTGCCACTTTATCTCAGATTGCCTGTTTCTCATTTTTTCTTTCTTTAGCTGGTTCTCTCCTTGGCCCAAACTGGTTGTGTGCTTTCCACAATCTTTAGTCTGTTGTCTTCTGCTGAATTTTCCCTTCATCTCAGCCCTTCACCACACACACACACACACACACACACACACACATGCACGCACACACGAGTATCCTCATCGGCTGTCACCATTATGTCAGTGGCACTGAAATCCACATCACCTGTTATTTCCTCTTTCTCGGTCCCTGGTCTCATTGCTCCTGTGGTCTACTGAAGGTTCCCACCTAGACATCTCATGTCATCACTGAACAGTCCCAAAGCCAAAATCATTTTTTCTGGCTCTCTATCCCTTTCGGTGACCTCACCAATCTTCCATCACCCAAGCTGGAATCTATGTACTGCAGAGCAATCTTTGACTCCTCTCTCTTCTTTACCTTCATCCAAAAAGTCAGTCCTATCTGGTTCCCTCCCAATGTGCCGGTAATCATCCCTCCTCTTCATTGCAGTTATGGTCACCTTCTCCAGATCTAATGCTTCCCTGACTAGATATTCTTATTTGCATCCTGCATATTATTTTCCCAGACTAAAGACAATCACACTCATCACTTTAATGATGACATTTTCTCACTAAATGCCTTTGCTGGTTCTCTGTTGCTGACAAAGTCAAACCCAAACACTGCTTTGTCCAAAACACTTTTGTAACCTGGCCTACCCTGTCCTTACCCAGATTTTCATTGCAACCCCGAAAGTGCCCCCCCCTTTTTAAAGATTTTATTTATTTGTCAGAGAGAGAGAGAGAGTGAGAGTGAGCACAGGCAGATAGAGTGGCAGGCAGAGGCAGAGGGAGAAGCAGGCTCCCTGACAAGCAAGGAGCCCGATGTGGGACTCGATCCAAGGACTCTGGGATCATGACCTGAGCCGAAGGCAGCCGCTTAACCAACTGAGCCACCCAGGCGTCCCAGAAAGTGCCCCTTTTGTAGCCAGATCTGTTTTCTACTCTCCCATCGTGTGATACAGAACTCCTTGTCTTGCCTCTCCCTGGCCTCTTCCATGAAACTGCCTCTGAATGTAGGTTTCTTTAGTCTCCTCTTCTTTTGAGTGCTTGTACTTGAGGCAGTATCACACATTTTTGTATTCAATTAGGTTCTACACTAATTGTGAGCCTTGTCATATCAACTAGATTGTAAGAAACTCGAGGGCAGAGATACGGCTGCCATCTTCTGCAATTCTGCTCCCGGCCTGAATTAGGTGTTCAGTAAGTAAAATCGATGACGAAATTTATCGCCTTTGTGTCTGGATGGCAAAAATCTATTCTTTCACATTTACCAATTTGCACCGTGTGTTTGTATACATGGGCAAGGTATGCTTAAATGTGTATTTATCTAAAATAATGGTTATCTTGGGACCATTGGTAGGCTAATGTATGTTAGTAAGTGCATTTCCTTGTCCTTGACATCAATCTTTGTAGAATCCTTGTATACAGTGTCTGTCCATAGACCTCAAAACTACCACTAAGCATTTTCTTTGTTCCTAGTAGTACTCTTAGCCCCTCCAGTAGGAATGCCTTTTTTGGCTTTTGCTGGGGGCTCCTGGAATATAGGTAATGCTTAAGCTCTTCTTCAATCACATACAATTTGTTATCATCTGGAATGAATTCATCATTGCTGAGCATGCCAAACTAAAGCAAATTTATTTGTAGTTTTCTGCCCTGGATGCACAAAACTTTTCCAGATAGAGATCATGGGAAAATAGTGGTTCAGGTTGTTGCCAGCCAGTTTCTAGGTTATACATCTCTACTAGAGCATTACCAACATTCTTCAACATAAATACAAAATGCACAAATCATTACCTTCTGTTACGTTGTATAAAATGGCACTGGTTCCGGGCTCTAATATGCAACTCTCCAGTGTGGGGCAGTGAATATGGAGGCAGTTGACATTGTCATGCATGGGATCATGGTAGAAGACAGCCACGTTACAGGAAACTGAAAGGAAAAGTGCATTTGCAGATGGTTTTGGTTTCTCCCAGCTGGAAGAGCTCTGAGTAGCTTCTATTTCTTCCAAGAACATGGCATTCACACCAGTATATTGCAGGGCTATGTTCAGACATGTCACAGAACATGGTGAACTACAGTAACTGTTTCTATGAATGTGGAAAATGCCCTTTTTAAAGAAACTATCCACTGATTTTCTCTAATCTTTCACACATTCCATTCCACACAGGATTACCTGGAATCATTTTCCAATCCCAGGATTTTATGTTCATGAAAAGTTCAGTTGGCTACAGAAGCCCCAGGGGTTATCAGATTTCTAGTTGCAGTGCCCTCTCAGAATGCTAATGCACCGGAGTTCACCAGAGAAAGAAATATGAAAATCAAGTGACAGATGTTGTAACAAAAGAGGGAGTCATGGGAAGGCAAAAATTGCAATTACTGGGAGAGGCCCAGATGGTAGCAAGGCAGCAGGCCAGGTGAACGCTACCCTGACCCTGATTATAGGGGAGCACTAGCCCCATTTGCAAATCACACATCCAACGGAAAGCCTATTCAATGTCTTTTAAAGAGGAAGAGAGTCCACTGACAAGGATGTGGGCATTTGGGATTCTAGTGGGTGGGGGTACATCACTGATGCTATCCCCCTTCTCCTAAATAACTTTGCTCCATAAAATGCATCATGTTATTTCTGGAAACCCTTAAGTCTGATTTGCTGAGTGCCAGTATCCAGTCTGTCCTCCCTAACGTGCAGAACAGACTTTCCTCCTGCTGCAGTGTAGTAGGAACCATGTGCTGGGAAATATCCATTGACCAAAGGTATCAACTTCTTTAATAAAATAAGATTACAGAGGGTTAGCATACAATTACCAGACCTCAGAGTATCCCTAAAGCTGTTGTGGAATTGTGGTTGGCCAAACCTTTGCTGCTTCTGTGTAAGGTTAACTGTGGGGAGCTCTATCCCACCCCTCCCCCATTACCTCTGGACCAGCCAGGAGGGTAAAGAAGAGGGCAGAATTCAATGAATAATATATTGCTAATACATTTTAGATTACAAATGCATTCCTTGAAGACTGGACTGTCAAGTTTAAGGGAAAGGATTAAAAAATATTCAAATTTAGAAATTTAAATTTTTGATAAGAAAGTAGTTGATGCTGTAAAGAGGACAATTTTAAAAGAAGTTTTATATTCCTCTTCGTGTACGTTTTAGAGTTCCAGCTCTGAACAGGTTAGCTATTGCAGGACTGTGGCTTTTTAAAGTTCTGGCTTCCAGCTAAAACAGACGTGTGTTCGTGCCCTTTCTTCTGCAGGAAGAAAACCACAACTTGGAAGCTACAGAGGCTGTAAAATCATGGAATTCTACTGGATGCTTACAGTATCCCTGGAAGTCCAGAGGACACAGTTTCCCTGCGATGGACAGTCAGGTAAATTGATACCATGGGAAAATGCTGAAAGGTACACCCCCCGCCCCCGGCCACCTTCCCTTGAGGCTTATGGGAATTATAAGCATCTTTAAGGTGAGAATCTAGATTGGCAACCTTTTCAAAAAAATTTCCCTTTGGGGCTCCTGGGTGCCTCAGTCAGTTAAGCGTCTGCCTTTGGCTCAGCTCATGATCCCAGGGTCTGGGATCAAGCCCTGCATTGGGCCCCCTGCTAAACGGGAAGTCTGTTTCTCCTTTCCTTCTGCTGTTGCCCCTGCTTGTACTCTCTCACACACACACTCTCTCTCTCTCTCTCTCAAACAAATAAATTCTGTAAAAAAAAAAAAGAAAAAAAAATTTCCCTTTAAAAAATTAATTGCTCTCTTGTGTGCCTGATTAACTTTCTAGGGCTTAGCCTGGGACAGCTTCTCACACTGTGGTCAGTTTACACCCTTGGATAGCCTCAGTCCACATCCCAGAAATCTGCCATGTGTACTTGGATAGGAAGCACTGGCAATTAATAAGTCGGTATCAAACCATGGAAAGAAAGTGTGGAAGAACCAAGAGAATTATTTTAACGTATTGTGTTGCTTTTGCTATTTCTTTCCAAGTAGCTTTAAAATCTTGGAAAAATGAAAAACAAATGAAAGTAGTCTTTAGACAATTGTAACTGAAATTCTGCAATAATGAAATGTTTTCCTCATTATAAACCTTGATCATATTACATGGGTGATGCTTAACTCTGATTCTGGATTTCAGACAAAAAAAATCGGAATATTTAAAATATATATTTCTTTTCTTCCTTTTTGCTGGTTGACATATATCTACCTATGTCCTTCAAAACATCTAAACAATCTAAATTCCTGCTCAATGCAACCCACATTTGCTCAACACAAGCAAGCACATTTCAAAAAATTAAAATATTGAGATCACCAAAAGAAGTTTGAAAAGGAAATTATTGGTTTTTTTGGAAATTATTATATTTTTGAAACCAAATATGCCATTTTGGGGGGGTGTGGAAATATTGGTAGTTAACCCTCAAGGAAATAGTTTCATTTAGCACTTTAGTGAAGAAAAGAAGATTGTGTCACCTGTGGGTTCCATGGCACTCTGGATCATCACAGATTTGTAAACTGAGCCAGCACTGATCCAAATGGCAAAGTCAGTCTCAATCTCTCTCCTGCCCTCCCCCATCCCCTTGTCTCTCCCTCATCTTCCCTAGTCCTGATCATCTGTTCCCTGGAACCTCTGCCTAGAGCTCCTTACTTAGGTCTTCATTTTATAAGTTTCTCCTGATTTTTGCTCAGGCATATCATTGATACTTACCATCCTTCCTAAGGCAGCAGCTCCTGCTGCATTTCTGGCCAGTACTTTCAGAATAATACTTCAGGAACTGAGCTCCCAGCTTCTGAGACTCCTCCAGGTCAATCAGAAGACCTGGAAAGCGACGGATCCAACAGTCTCTATAAAAAATGGTGGGTGAGCAGAGAGAGTCTGAGGTCCGCCCCATGCTCAGCAGCAGCACCAAGGCTGTTTCCACCACTGCCACGTGCATTTCCGTGGTAGGAAGATCGGGCAAGAAGTCTGAGTTCCGGACAGAAGCCGAAGCTGACCATCGGGGTTGAGGACAGGTTCTGGAACTTCGAAGCTGTTGCTAAGGGACTCTCCTAGAGAGTCACCTTCTAGAAAAGTGAAGCCATTCTTTGACTGCATATTGATTTTTCTTTTGTTTCTTCCCAGCTGAGCCTTAGGTGAACATTTGACTTTCTGATGTTAATTCTGAACATTTTCCAGGCCATTTTGATACTCTGTCCCTTACCCTTTTGAAGATGTGGATTCTCTCCTCTGCTTTTCTTCTTTCTCTGAAAGTGAATAGTCACAGACACCTCTTACTAAGTAAATATAAAGACAAGTGGAAATCCTAGCCCAGAGTCTTTCTGAGGAAAACAATAATTTAGTCACTTGACGTCAGATAAAGGAAGGATCCATTACACCAGAAACAAGACATTGTTTGTAAGGGGACTGTTGTATGGTTTTAAAGAAACCTGTGACTGCAGACTTTTTATTTTTTTTATTTTTATTTTTTTTAAAGATTTTATTTATTTATTTGGCAGAGAGAGAGAGAGAGATCACAAGTAGGCAGAGAGCCAGGCAGAGAGAGAGGAGGAAGCAGGCTCCCCACCGAGCAGAGAGTCTGATGCGGGGCTCGATCCCAGGATTCTGGGATCATGATCCGAGTGGAAGGCAGAGGCTTAACCCACTGAGCCACCCAGGTGCCCCGACTGCAGACTTTTTAAAAAAAATTTTCCCCCTATGGATTTAAGTTCTGGTATTTACATTCACCAGAAAACCAGTTTGTGCCCTGTTTCAAATTTTTTGTTTTTACTAACAAAATAAGAACAACAAAACCTTGAAAGTAAATGAAAACTGAAAATGAAAAAAAAATTAATTTTGCAGTGCTTTTGAAAACATTGAATGTGGATATGTGGATCCTGGTCACTTCTTGGAGCTAGGCATTCCCCACCCCCACAAAGGTCAACCACAGGCTTTCTTTAAAAAGAGAAAATGAAACAGTACAGTGAAAATTGTGAAGAAGTTCAAAAAGCGGTGGGGGTGGCGGCACCTGGGTGGCTCAGTCATTAAGCATGTTTCTTCCTCTTGGTTCATGATCCCGATGTCCTGGGATTGAGCCCCCATTGGGCTCCCTGCTCAGCGGGAAGCCTGCTTCTCGATCTCCCACTCCCCTTGCTTGTGTTCCCTCCCTCGCTCTCTCTCTGTCAAATAAATAAATAAAATCTTAAAAAAATAGTCAAAATGGGGGCTATCTAATCTGTTTTCTGAGATTCTTGTTTGCAAGTTATAAAGGATACTTCTTTGTGAAGCATATATAAAAACGCATAGTATCTCTGATGAAAGCAGAGACAGTTGCTAAGAAATGTGTATTAGGGAAATGAAATGGTTTTAAATTTCTAAATATTAATAAAAATCACTTCAATTGCAATGCCAAAACATTTGAAAAGATACTAAAGGAGGCAAAAATGGGCTCTCACTTTTGTGAAGGTTGTAGTTTCCATATCCCATGATGATGTCCACATTGACAAAGTAGTTCAAAAATGAAACTGTTGGGTTTTTATACCCATTTTTATACCAAGCATAAGTGAAAATCAGCTTTTGGCATAAAGTATGGCTGAACTGCTCTTTTTTAAAAAAAAAAAAAAAGACGAAGCTTTTTCTATCCCGTGATCTGGGTTTCTTTTGTACCTTTTGCACAATGACTCATTCACTTACTTGACACAAAAATGTTAACATTCTTTGAATTTTCATTTCTCTACCTGTTTTGTAATAATAGCCTATCACATATCCTTTAATTTTTAGAAATACATGATTTAATCATCAATAATAAGCAAATAATCAAAGGGCTGAATAACTTTAAAAACAAAACATTTTACTTTCTCCTAAGCAAAAATTATAACATGGATTAACTCCTAACCTTGCATAAGCCGCCTAAAATATACTAAAAATGATTAATATGTTATTCTATTGAACTTCTCATAGAAAACAAGATTCAGTTGCTTACCTGCAAATAATCAGACTGTTCTGTCTGTTCCAAGGAGAAAGGGAAGAGAGGTTTCCTGATGGGAAAGTAAGCGACAGGTGAGGAACAAAAAGATTACTCCCTTTTTCTCCATGAGGTTCCATAGATACAGCAATTAGTTCATGCCCCGGGGACATAAACCAGAAAGTCTGCTCTCTAACATTCTACCCTCAGTGTCTTTCAATCACATTAAATGCAATTTCTTTTGTGTGATGTAGAATTCCTTGAAGTTCTCATGTATCCTGCAGGGATAATGGAACAACCCATAATTGCTTAATCCTTTTGTTGTGATATGGTGTTCAGGTAAAGATCAAAGTTGCATTTTTAAAGAATCTCCAAATTCCAATGTAAAAGCATGCTTTAAAATTTTTAAAACAATTTTTTTTTTAGTGATTGCATAAACATTCAGTTGGAAACCAGGAACTTCTTGGAGCCAAGTATTTTGAAAAGGAGAGATAGAAACTGGACTGCAGGGGCAGAGGGAGGAATCCACAATGGGCTGAGATATGTGGCCCAGAAACATCTAGTCTCAAAATTGTCCATGCGAGATGAAATTACAGAAACCAGAAAGCAATTCCAATTCTGAATAAAAAATTGCTATATAGGCTTTTATAGATTTTATCAAATATTGAGAACTGTTACACTATTGCAATGCAGTGATATATTGTATTTATTTCCAACTGGGTGCTCTTAAGAGGGGTTCAAAGATTGTATTCTTACCTTAAAAACCACACTTTTCTTCCAAGAGCCTGATTCAGTTGCTCTAGTCTGGGAACCAGAATTTTTATAAGCATCCCAGGTGATTTACTAAGATGTTTGGAAAACACTGACATAACACTGACTGCAAAAAAAAATGGAAGTTTTACTTACATTAAGATGCTCAATCTGAATTAAATATGAACGATTTTTATTTTTTTTAAATATTTATTTGAGAGAAAGAGAGTGCACACATGGGGGGAGGGCGTCAAGGTGGGGTAGAGAGTGAGGGGGAGGAAAAATAGACTCCCTGCTGAGCAGGGAGCCTGACCTGGTGGGGGTGGTGTAAAGATGAAAGGGGTTGGATCTCTGGTCCCTTCCCAGAGGTCATGACCGGAGCCAAAGCCAAAAGTTGGATGGCCAACACATTGAGAATCACCCAAGAGACCCTGAGCCATTTTTAAAGAACTGTACTACTTTAAAGTCATTTAAATTGTCCCACATGCTTGCATGAAAGGAAAATATTTCAGTTTTGCTTGTTAAAAAAGAAAAGGAGGGGCGCCTGGGTGGCTCAGTGGGTTAAGCCACTGCCTTCAGCTTAGGTCATGATCTCAAGGTCCTGGGATCAAGCCCTGCATCGGGCTCTCTGCTCAGCGGGGAGCCTGCTTCTCCCTCTCTCTCTGCCTGCCTCTCTGCCTACTTGTGATCTCTGTCTGTCAAATGAATAAATAAAATCTTAAATAAAAAAAAAAAAGAAAGAAAAGGAAATAATCTTTATTAAAATGTTTTGCTTTTTATTAAATTGATATATGTTTCACTTTAAATACCCAAACTTTTGGGGCACCTGGGTGGCTCAGTTGTTAAACATCTGCCTTTGGCTCAGGTCATGATCCCAGGGTCCTGAGATTGAGCCCCACATCAGGCTCCCTGCTCCGTGGGAAGCCTGCTTCTCCCTCTCCCACTCCCCCTGCTTGTGTTCCCTTTCGCGCTGTGTCTCTCTCTGTCAAATAAATAAATAAAAATCTCTAAAAAAATTAAAAAATAAAAATAAAAATCCAAACTGTACAGAAAAGCACAAAAAGGAATAAAAACTACAGTCCTATAGTCTTAACACTTTCATTAACATCCTTCTAGACATCTCTATAGAAAATAGATACATATATGCCATTGTATGTAAATGGATTCATGCTGTTCCAGAAACTGTTTTTTAAATATTTATTTATTTATTTTAGAGACAGACATGAGTGGGAGGGGCAGAGGGGTAGGGAGAGAGAATCTTAAGCAGACTGCACACTGAGCACGGACCCCACTCAGGGCTCAGTCCCATGACCCCGAGGTCACGACCTGACTTGAAACCAAGAACCTGATGCTTAACTGACTCTGCCACCCAGTTGTCCCTCCAGAAACGGTTTTCTTAAAACCCAGGGTAAAATTATATTTTTCAGGGTTTCTAAAGAAGGATCTACATGTTTATCCAAAGTTGTAATGGCTCTCCAGTATTTCATTCTACAAATGTACCAAAATTTACTCTGTACTTCAGCTTCCTCAGCTATGAAGCAAAATAAAAAATTGTATTGTAATCCACAAAATCACTGACAATAGTGCTTGGCATATAATTAACACTCAATAAATGCTGGCTACTATTACTATTATACATTGTTTTCCAATTTTTTATTATTAAAAGCAACACTGTAATAAACATCTTGTACTTAAATTTTTTTTTTCCTTCTCAGTCATTAAGGTTGTATTTTCCAGAAATTCTTAAAGAAACAGCCTGTGTCTGACTCTTACTATAGTCTTTTGTAAAAAGATCATAATATATAAAGTGTCTGAAGTGAGTCATAGTACCACAAAGGCCAGTCTTTATTATTCATTGTTCAGTCAATAACAGATCTATAAAATTATACCACCAGCTGTATATGAGCAATATTTTCATAAGGCTTAGAAATAATATTTTAGATCTTCTGTAAATGAGTTTATATTGCTTTGACTTTGCATTTCTAACTCAACAGAAAGCTTACTGTGTAAATTATAAAAATGATTAGATCTTAAGATACTTCCAATCCTAAATGACATTATTATCATTATCGGGGTCAAAAAGCTTACAGGTTCAGTGCCTGGTTTTGTCAGACTCACACCCCAGATTCCCTGCCCAAGCTAATCTTACTCTGATAATATCACTGTGCGTGAATTGCCTTTCTGATGTGCATCATTCTTTGAGTGTGATTTTTTTGGGTCTCTTTTTAGAAGGCAAGAAAATACCAGTCTGAGGCATATCCATGACGTTTGGAAACAAAAGCATCCATTGGTGAAAGATTCTAAAAGGACAGGGAAGAGACTAAGAGCCTGTTCTTCTTGGCTGACCCACTGAATCTGGCATTGTTGCCGATGGAGGCACAAATAAATCCCAAGCCCAAGCCTCTTTAATAGAGGGTGTGCCTCCCAGCAAAATTTGCCAGTTTAAGGCCTAATACTAGGCATGGCACTTTACTTTCCCAAAGAGGTTGCTAAATTCATGGTTGCCTCCCCCCAAGAAACCTAGAATGTCTTGACTGCACCCTTATTGAGAACAGAAGTGTGAGAAGTTGCTTGAGAATGGAGTTTTATCAGTAATGATTTAAAGTCCAAGAAACAAGGTGAAAAGATAAAGTTCACAGATTAAAAAAAAAAAAATAGACGAATAAGGCAAGTCATAGATCCATCCTTGTCTCCTTCACTTTTCCCAGGGAGGCCAGAATCTACTAGAATTTTTTTCTATGTCTTTAATATGTTAGTTTCTTATCCATGGTGTTTTATAAAGAAAATAATGGAGGACAACTCACCATGAGGCAGTTAAGTTACATAGTGAGAAGCACAAAATAACCAAAAAGGTGCTGAAATGATTTCATGCTTTACCAATCTGACTGTCTTCTCTGGTTTTTAACCCTTCCCCTCCCCTCTTGCTAAGGTAAAATGTTAATCCGGTTGTAGGAGGTAACTTGTTTCAAAAAGCGGAAATGTATGTATGAAGAAGGTGTCATTTAACAACTTGTCATTCAAGAAGACAGATGAAGCTTGTCATAATAAAAACAAAGCCCAAATACATCTCCTCCCCAAGTTGAGGACTATTACGGAAGAATCTTGGTCTGGGAAAAATTTCAAGGTTTTTTTGTTTGTTTGTTTTGTTTTGTTTGTAGGATAGGGTGCCAGTTCCCTCCCAGTCCTTATCCCTCCATCTACCCAAAGCTAACCTAACAGTATCCCCCTCACTCCCTTCTAAGATTAATTCATATCTCATGAACAACACGAATCCTCATTATTTGGCCTGAGCTTTTTACTCATCTCTTTGCAACGTCCAGTGAGAGAAGACCGGGAAGAAGTCGACCCTCCTTAAGTAGTCCTCAGACGGGCATGGGCCGGGGAACATAGGGTGGCAAGAAAAGCCACTCCGTAGGTCAGTATGACTAAAGGAGGCCAGACCTTCTGCCCAAAGGATCACGTTCTGTCATGGCTAGCCCAATCAAATTGAAATAGGAAAAGCAATGACTTTTAGACGAGGTTTTAAAAGAAGTCACGTGTCCTCACTTAAATTGTCTTTCTTTTAATAGCATAAAAAGGATTAACGGGCCCCAGCAGCAAATACAAGCTCCTCTGCTTCCCGACCCGTTTCATCTGCTGTACTGTGCACCCCAGCGAGCCCTGCAGAGCCTGCTGCCATCTGCCTGGACCTTCTTTCTGCAAGATGGCTGCTACACGATGACCATGGCGAAGAATCAGCTCTAGGTGTCACCTGCGTGTGTAGGGAAGGCCTGTGTGCCTCAGGCCCCGGGACACTATGCCGGATTGGGCTAGATGGGCGATCCCAGATGTGATGTCATTTTGACTCCCAGGACCCCCGACTCCCATCATCCCAGTCCCCCCACGCCTGTTTCTTCTTCTTTTCTCTCTCTCTCCCCGCTTGTAAAGCAGCGCGGAAGAAACAGCGGACTGGCTTCACCTCGCCTCCAGTCTGCCTCCCAACCCGCGCATCGCTGCGGAGCCCGCAGGCCGCAGAGCCGCTGCGCCCGGCGTGCGGGGGAGGCTGAGGGGACGTGGCCGCAGCCTGAGCAACGGGGCCCGCAGCCCTCCAGCCCTCCCCGAAAGCGGGATCCGCTCGCAGGTCTGGCGGGCGGCAGGGGTCCTGCGGGCGGAAGTGAGAAGCGAGGCGTGGGAGGAGGCTGCAGACTGGGGGCTGGGATCCCCTCGGCGGCTGACGCGGCCGGGACAACCGGAACGAGGACGGCAGCCGCCTCCCGACGCCCGGTGCGCGGCAGCCGGGCCTTTTTTGGCGTTGAGGCAGAGCAGACGGGCAGGGCGGCCGCTCCGGGGGAGCGAGGCTGAACCGCCGCCCCCGGGACCAGGAGGAGGGGCTGCCTCGGGGGCGCCGCCGCGACCCAGATAGGCTGGGCGGACGCGGGAGCGGGAGGCGGCCCGTCGCCTCCCTCCTCTTCCGCGGGGCCATCCCTCGGCGCGCCCAACCCGGAACCCGGCGAGCGCGTGGGGGCGGGGAGGCGAGCGCGCAGAGCTGGCGGGCATCCCCGCGGCCCCCGCCCCCCCAGCCATGTCGGCCGAGGAGATGGTGCAGATCCGCCTGGAGGACCGCTGCTACCCGGTGAGCAAGAGGAAGCTTATCGAGCAGAGCGACTATTTCCGCGCCCTCTACCGCTCCGGCATGCGCGAGGCCCTGAGCCAGGAGGCCGGCGGCCCCGAGGTGCAGCAGCTGCGCGGCCTCAGCGCCCCGGGCCTGCGCCTGGTGCTGGACTTCATCAACGCCGGCGGGGCCCGCGAAGGCTGGCTCCTGGGCCCGCAGGCGGAGAAGGGCGGCGGGATGGAGGAGGAAGAGGAGATGGACGAGGTGAGCCTGCTGGCGGAGCTGGTGGAAGCGGCCTCCTTCCTTCAGGTCACGTCTCTGCTGCAGCTGCTGCTGTCCCAGGTGCGGCTCACCAACTGCCTGGAGCTGTACCGCCTGGCGCAGGTGTACGGGCTGCCCGACCTGCAGGAGGCCTGCCTGCGCTTCATGGTCGTCCACTTCCACGAGGTGCTGTGCAAGCCCCAGTTCCACCTCCTGGGGGCTCCTCCTCAGGCCCCCGGGGACGTCAGCCTGAAGCAGAGGCTGAGAGAGGCCCGGATGACGGGGACTCCGGTTCTTGTAGCCCTGGGGGATTTCCTGGGGGGACCCCTGGCCCCTCACCCCTACCAAGGGGAGCCCCCGTCCATGCTCAGGTATGAGGAGATGACCGAACGTTGGTTCCCGCTGGCCAACAACCTTCCTCCCGACCTGGTGAACGTCAGGGGTTACGGGTCCGCCATCCTGGACAACTACCTCTTCATAGTGGGCGGGTATAGGATCACTAGCCAGGAAATCTCGGCTGCGCACTCCTACAACCCCAGCACCAATGAGTGGCTCCAGGTGGCCTCCATGAACCAGAAGAGGTAAGCGCCCAGCAGGGCTGCTTCTGCTTCTTTTCCCGTTCCATTCATTCACTTGCTCACTAGTTCGTTCATTCCCCTGATATTTCCTGGGCAATCGCAGGAGATTTTGCTGAGGTGGGAATGACATCTTCAGGAGTGTCGCTGGCCTGGACTCTGGCAGAGTTCCCAAGGAACTGAGAACTTGGGAGGAAGAAGTGGCCCCAGCCAGGTCAACTAACCGAGTACTTTCCTTGCAGGTCTCGCTTTTTCAGGCAAACTGCCTTTTTGCCTCTTTCCCAGTTGGGGGGGGGGGGGGTATGTCTGTGGTTTCCTGGGAGGATACTGTAAAGGAAAACTTTAAGTTTGCTTTCATTTTTACCTTTTTTTTTTTAATTTTTTAATTTTTTAGGCTCTAATCCTGATTACAGTGCCAGACCGGGCAGTGACCTGTAATGCTGTCTTGGGAGGATTTTTGTTGTTGTTATTGACTTTGAAGCTTTCCACACTGGGGCCCCAATCTGTGATCAGGAGATTACCATTAGAATTGTACCTTGGATTGTCTTTTTTATTTTGTATCCTCTCTTTTGCATCTCCCTTCCATCCCAGACAGTTTCATCTTTGTTCTAAAATTTGAGCCTGGCAGTGGTCACCTACAGAATTAGAACATATCAGTCCACCCAACCTTCTCCCCTCCCATCCTCAAATCCCTCCCAACATGCCCTTGGGTGACATGAAAACAGGTAAAGGAGGAGGGGAGGTGAGGGAGAGGAGGGAATAGAGGTGGGAAGGGAAAAGGAAGAAGAGGAAAAAAAAAAAAAGCAGAGCAGATACAGGAAGAGATGGTAGAAAAGAAAGATGGTAGGACTCAAGATGGCCCAGAGCCATTCACACACAAGTAGGGAGAAGAATCGGTGTGAGCCACGAAAGGACAGGAATACTCTTTCTTCCGCTATACTTGTATCTATCTCAACCCCCACATGGGCCCTACCCTGAAGTGTGGAACAAGTAGTTGGGGGACTCACCACCAGGCAAAGAAAGTTGTAACTGGAATGGGAAGACCATTATACATACATACTTGACTTAAGGGTACCCCAGCCTTGGGGGGGTGGGGGGGACAGTGGCTTTATTTCTACTATAACATAAAATTCATTTTGGAAAGTGCTCTTTTTTTTCTGGTGATAAAAATAATACATAATTATTCTAGAAAAGTGGAAAATGGAAAAGAATCAAGAAACAGAAAGACTATCACTCCTGCTCCCTCCCTCACAGAGGCAATACTGTGTAGAGATTAGCATGTTTTCTTCCAAGCCCTTTTTTGTGTATTATTTATACCACTGAGATGATACTGTATTTAAGATTTGGTATCAGAAGTGTTATTTTTAAGCAAATTCTACAAGCTTTAATTGAAGTAACAAAGGGACATTCAGTGGTTATGGATGGTGCTCAGATTTGGGGTGGAAGGCTCAACCGGTTGTCTGTCACCTCTACACACGTGTGTCCAGCTATATCAACTGCTACTCAACAGAACCCCTCCACCCCCAAATCCAGCTTGAGCTCTAACATAACACCTCACAGAATTCTTATTTTTCTTATTTATTTTTTTTTTTTTAGAGAAGCGGGGAGGGCCACAGGGGGAGAGTGAATCCTAAGCAGGCTCCATGTCCAGCACAGAGCCTGACGTAGGGTTTGATCTCATGACGCTGGCATCATGACCTGAGCCAAAATCAAGTCAAATGCCTAACCAACTGAGCCACTCCAGTGCCCCCTTTTCTTTCTTTACAAATCCTTGATAGTCTTTTTTCTTTTTTCTTTTTCTTTTTAAGAATATTCTTTATGTCCTCCAGGGGAAAAAAAGGTATTCAAGTAATTCGTAAATACATGCTTAGAAAAATTACAAATGACACGAAAAACCACAGAGTAAAAGATATGTGTATCTACTGATATATATTTATATATTATACATTTGTAAATATATGTTATAAATGTGCATTTATATAAACATAAGTATGTTGATAATTGTTAGGGGAAAATGTATGTATGCGTGTACATGCAGGGGTGTGTGTGCATCTTATATATATTTTTACCATAGGTTGATTAGGCTGTGCTGATTATTATGACCATTCCACTTGGAGAGTTTTTTCTGTATCAACAAATATCAACAAATATAGAGCTGTCTCACTCATTAATAAGAGCTGTATTCTAGCCTATGGCTGTACTATAATGTAATCAGCCCATCCCTTACTCATGAGCATTTAAGTTGCTTCTATTTGCCATTAAAACAATGCTATAATGGGATGCCTGGGTGGCTCAGTCGGTTAAACATCTGCCTTTGGCTCAGGTCATGATCCCAGGGTCCTGGAATGGGTCCCATGTTGGGCTCCCTGCTCCTCAGGGAGTCTGCTTCTCCCTCTCCCTCTGCCCCTCCCCACACTTGTGCTCTCTCTCTCGCTCACTCTCTCTTTAGAATACATAAGATCTTTAAAAAAAATGCTATGTTGAACATCTTGGCATATATGTGCCTCTCTTAGCAGGCATTTTTCAGTAGTCCTAAATGACAAATTCCTGGAATCCCTGGATAGGTGAGCCAAAGTATATATAAGTTTTAAATTTTGGTAGCTCCTGCCAAATTGCCCATCAGAACATTGTTCAGATCTCCTCTCCTATCAACAGTGTCTGAGCTTGCCAGTTCCTATACTCCTGCCAAGACAAGATATTATCATCATTTTTTATTTTTACCAATCCAGTGGGCAAACACTGATGTGAATCTTTCTGCTTGGGAGAGAAATTTTTCCTCTCAGATGTTTATTGGCCCTTTGTATATATTTTATAAGTGGCCTTTGCCAATGAAAAAGAAAATTGGTTTATCTTTTTCATATTCAGTTTAGAAATTCTGTTTACATATGTAGAATCAATCTCTTGTCTCAGGTAATGTTGCACTGTTTTCCCCCTGCCTTTATTTTACTGGAAGGCCTCAAAAATAAAATCCGCAAAGTGACCAGGCTGGTGAAGTCAATGAGTAGAGGGATGGGTTGGAGTGATGATGAATTGGAGAGCTGTCACTCCACCGCAAGAGGGCCCCACCCCTCTCACCCACAGCTTGTTGCTATCTCCAAGTATGGAAAGCATTGCCAGACAGCCAGATGCCCTGATTTTTAAAGGCTGGCAACTTGAGTGCTGTGAAGTGTGTAAACCTGGCGATTCACAGACCTGTACCCCTGGGGATAAAAATATATTATATGTTTATAAAAAATTAAAAATTAAAAATTAAAAAAAAAACAAACCAACATCAACAATAACAGAAACCTTGCAGACCAAACAAACTGTAGGACAACACCGGCATTGTGAGCTTCCAATTTTGGATGTCAGGTTTATCATGTATTCTTACATGAGGAAATTTAAATTTTTTTGGAGTCAAATTTGTCATGTATATCCTATTAACTCTTAATCTTGCACAGGAAAGGTGTCTACAAGTTAAGAATATACAAATATTCATCTGTCTTATAATGTATTTTATGGTTTTGCCTTTTTACATTTATATTTGAATGTGTTTGGGATTTATTTTTATGTAAGGTATAATGTAAGGTTATAGCATGTTTCCTAAATGTCTCAGTGGCCTCAGTCCTCACTGTGATTTGCACAATCAGTTATCAAATGCTAATTTTCCTGTTTCCATATTGACATATTGGCTATTCCTTTACCGATAGCATACTTTTAAATTATTGCAGCTTGGTAAACTATTCTGTTGTCTCGTGGAATGGAGACCCATTTTTTTCTGTTTTTTTTTTTTTTTTTTAAGATTTTATTTACTTATTTGACAGAGAGAGAGAGAGAGAGAGATCACAAGTAGGCAGAGCAGCAGACAGAGAGAGGGGGAAGCAGGCTCCCTGCTGAGCAGAGAGCCCGATGCTGGACTCAATCCCAGGACCCCGAGATCATGACCTGAGCCCAGGGCAGAGGCTTAACCCACTGAGCCACCCAGGTGCCCCTTTTCTGTTTTATTTTGATTCTCTTAGCTATTCTTTGTACATTTTCCCCTTCAGAGAAACTTTAGAATCCGATTGTCAAGTCCTGTTGGAGTTTTGATTGGGCTGACATTGTATTTATCAGTTAAGTTGGAGGAGGATTAATAGTTTCATACTTTGCAGATAGAAAAATGGTTTATTTTTCCATGTATTTAGGTCTTTTGGTCTTTCAGGAAAGGTTTATGATCTTTGTATAGTCTGTATATTTTTTGCAGTTATTCTCAGGAATTTTCTGGTTTTTTTTTTTTTCTTTTGTTTATTTATTTATTTTTTAAGTAGGTTCTGGGCGAAGGTTGGGCTTGAACTCAAAACCCTGAGATTAAGAGTTGCATGCTCCACTGACTGAGCGAGCCAGGCAACCCCGAGCTACTGTTTTTTTTCTACACAGATACTTTTTTTCACCAAATTTTAAAATTGGGGGCCATGTCAGAATTTGTAACCTTCTTTATCTCTCTCATACTTTGACTCAGATTTGACGGTCAACTCAATTGCATGTCCCTTTCTGAACTCTCAGTTAGGCTAAATATTCAAATTCTTTGTTTCTCTAGAACACTCTCCACCTCGAATTGAAGTTTTCTGCTTATGTTTGTTTCTCTCCCTTCCAGTCAGGTCCAGTTCATTGCTTCTGTGTGCTCCTACTGCTAATGTGGTATCCGATAATTCATAGATGCTCAAAATGCACCATTGTTTTTGAATTACGGACTATATCATATATTATTGTAATAAAAGTGACTATATTATTTTATTTTTTAAAGTGTAATATTGTGAATATTTTTATCTTGTAACAGTCACTATAGTTATTTAGAATAGTGGGAAAATAATAATAGGTAACATTTAACTGAACATTTACTCTGTGCTAGGTACTGTTCTTACTGCTCTCACTTATTCTTCATAAAGACTGTATCAGGCAGGTTCCCATTTTACAGAGTCAGAAACCAAAGCATAGAAAGTTAATTGCTAAGGTGTGTAGTAAGTAGAGTAACCAAAATGTAAATATCCATTGAATAGATATAACCATTTAGAGTATTTGCAGTTTGGCTTATAGACTGGCAGTGACCATCTTCATTCATGTGCATTTTTAAATTTTCTTAAAAATTATTTTCTTCAGAGAAGTGGAGCACAGATGCTTTGTGCTGCTTTTAAAAATTTCATTACGTGTGTTTGGGCTTCACCACAGCCTTCATGTCTAGCATCTTTCTAGTCACTATTGGGCAAACAACAAAGACGACATGGTTCCTATCCTCAAGGAGTTTAGATGATGAAACAAGTAAAAATGAAACTTAGAATGGAGTTGTTTCTGGATAATGTATCCAATACAGTTTCTGGAAACACCAGAGGAAACTTAGAACCTTGAGGAAAAGCAGATTTCAGCCTCTGTGATTACACAGCATTTCACATCTGGCTTGATTCACTGCCTCTGTGATGTACCTTTACTGTTTTACTTTGACAGAGTGGTCAAATGCAATGCAGCCCACATTCCTCAGCGACTGAATAGGGTGGTGATCTCAGAATCTTAAATAGTATGGGACAGGCAGGAACCCTAGCTTTGAGAGATTCTGTAAAGTCCTTTGCACCCTGGAGAAAATGGTGCATGTGACCAGTAGTGCTCCCCCCGCCCCAAAAAAGGGAAGAAAGAGATGTTAGTGTTGTGCCCGCACACTTGAAAATGGCAGTGTGAGTACACAGTAGAGCAGAGAGGCTGCTTTGAAGTCCAGGGATGCCACACTGCCCAGTGGTCTGCATGTGGGTTTGATCTCAGGAGTTGTCAGGACATCCATGTGAAAGCCTGTACACCCACACCATTGCTTGCCCTCCCTCCGCGCTTACATTGTTGATAACTTGCAGGAACTGGCCACTGTTGCAGCAATCCTGGTCGTTCATTTCTCCGTCTCTAACGTCTCTAGTCTCTCTCATTGCCCTGTACTTTTGCTCTGCAGTTGTTCTGTGTGTGAATACAAAGCCGGGAGAGAGTTAAACAAGTTTCCTGGCTGAGATGGAATTACTGTCGTCAGCCTTAGCTGTTCCCTTTTTCTCTGGGCCAAAGTTTAGTATTTTAGGGCATTTCTGGTCTCCTTTCTGGTTAAGGTTGCAGCGGAGCCCGAGAATAGTGGGAAGGAAAGAAAACTATGTGTTTGTTCATCCCCCACTCATTGTGATTTTGTCCAGTAGATGCTTTGTGTGCTCCAGTCTCTCAGACACCTAGTAGGTAGTGACCTGCTGGTCCCCAGGGGAGGTTAATCCATAGGGAAGTGGCAGAAGGTAGGCATGAGGAGGAGGATGAGGGGACATAAGGACCCGAGTGCTCTACAAACTATATAAGTCTTTTCTGAGTGGTTGAGAAAAGATCTTGCCATTTCTCTCTGATGTTTACTCCAATGGCAACAAACTTTTCTATGTAGCAAACCCTAACAAAGGTTCCTATTTCTTGAGCTCTTAACTCAGGGCTACATGTTGTAGACACTGTTTTAGATGTCACTTCCTATTTCAGGCTCACAGCATCTCTTTGGGAGTAGTAGTAGTATTGGCTCCATCTCCCCAAGGGGAAACCGAGGATGAGTTTCATAAGTTTGCATGGTTACAGGGCCAGCACTCGAAGCGCTCACATCTCTGTGTCACCGGCCGCTCTACAGCTGTATACAGCTACTGTTGATCTGTGTAGCAGGTTTCAACGTGTTTCATGTTACTTAGTTTTTAAGGATTTGCTGAGTTCTTTATTTCCTTGAGATGAAGTAGCAATTAAATCAGCATTTTTTTTAGCCTTTATTTCTATTTACTGTAAGTCAGTCAAGGATGTAGCTACAACACATCATTATTTGGTTTAAAAATTATTCTTTTTACCCCTGAGGGTAGTATGTCAGGGATCAATATTGAGAAAATACTAGAGATGACCATTTTTTTTTTTTTTTAAATCCATAGCTTGGATTCATACTTTCACCCTTCAGGAGGTGGAGAGTGAAAGAGTTACTTTCAGAGAGTAGGAAATGAGGTGCTTCATGGTGAGAATTTATGGATGAGAGAGCACTTTGTATATAATTCCAGAATACATTCTAGCCGGTGACTGTTGCAGTTAACAAATGACAAAGAGATCCTCTCGGAGTTAAGAAATTTAGCCTTATGACACCCAGAAAAAGCATTCCCTCTTGTAACCCCTTTCTGCAGGTGTTCCCCTTTTCAGCTCTTCCTATGTGTTATATGTTCCTTTCTCCACTTCACAGGTGGGGAAACTGAGGATGAGATGAACTGAGGATGAGATGAGATTCAGTGACTTGTCCAAGGTCACACAGCCGTTGGGTGGTGGAGCTGAGATCTCCCTGTGTGAGCCTGGGCTTACAATCCTCAGCAGGACACGTCTTCACTAAGTGGTCTGCGTTGGGGTGGCAGTTTCATCTCCAACTCAGTATTGAAAAGTGTCTTCTCTTCAAGTGAATTTGAGCATGCTGGGTCTGGAGAGATGGAATTGTTTACTTTTAACTGCTTACTCATTCAGCCCTTACATGTTTACTTAGGACAAATGATTATGCTGGATGAATATTAAAAACCGTTTCGATCTTAGAAAATTTACTATCTGTGTACCTTTGGGGAGCAAAAACAAATTGCAGGCTGGTAAAATTTAGTCCTTATTTGCAAGCTTTATTTCCTTTGGTTCCCCAAATTTGCACACACACAGAGGGCATCATGGTCAGATTTTAAGGACCATTGGCAGCAGGAAAAGTAAGCAACATGAAGTAGAGACCCCCCCCAGTGGCTGCCACCCCAGTGAAGTCTGTTGGCATGAAATGTGATTGGCTGGCTAGGTGTAATGGACAATGTGAGGTTCTTGCTGAAGAGTACTCTGTTCACTTTCTGATTTGAAAAAACAAGGACTCATTTAAACGGACACATTGCAGGCACCTTTGAAAACATCTTACTGTTTTAGTAGGTGTAGGTGGCTATTACCCACATGTCCTTTGTCATGGTGCATCAGTGTTGATTAGACTCCTGCTCAGAGATCACACATGGACGACTTGTTCCCTGTTTCTTCCTCATCTCCCCTCTTACCTGCGTTTTTCATATGTGGCCTCTACCCCCATTCTTTCTTAGGATACTGTTAATTTTGAAGACATTGTTGTATTGGTGGTAGATATGGTCTCTAAATTTACATGGTCTGCTTTCTTTATTTCAAACACTAGAAAACTAAGAAATTATAATGATAGTATCTTATCTCAGTGTGGTACTTCCTGAGAAACTGTTGCCTATAATGTCTTGACCATCCTGTGATGAGTATTATCCCATTACCAGCAATAGTGAATTGGGGTGTTTGGGCTAGGGTCAGAGAGCTGCTTCAGGTCTTTCTGTTGCATTGTGCTCTGCTCACACTCCTGTAAACTTGAGACTGCTGCGCCAATCTGGGAGACTGGCCCAAATGTGTATCCCATCTGGCCTTCAAGGAGTCATTAATTTCTGTGTGCTACACTGGAACAAATTAGTTTTTTCTTTTCAATTCAGAAGTTAAAAGTTACAAGACTTTTATGTAGCATCTGAAGCTGATGAGCAGTATTTGATTGTATTACTGAATATGGGGCTTAAAACCAGTGTCTTCTCCTTTTAAAATTATTTTATTTATTTGAGAGAGACAGAGATAGTGAGAGAGAGCATGAGCAGAAAGGAGAGAGAGAAGCAGACTCCCTGCTGAGCATGGAGCCTGACACAGGGCTCCATCCCAGAACCCTGGAATCATGACCTGAGCCAAAGGCTGACGCTCAACCAGCTGAGCCACCCGGGTGCCCCTAAAATTATTTTCTATTATGATAAGTGAACATTTGTTGGTTTAAGTATTTGTTAACATATGGAAGCCCCCGTAAGGGTGCTGTGTCAAAATATGTTTAGTTTGGTGCTTATGTAGCCCTATGTATTGTGTTGTGAAACAGTATATAAGATGCCCTTGGATGGAGTGGTGGGATGGGGGGGGCGAGAGATCTGCCAGGAGCACTTGTGGTAAAGGGGTCTTTGAACCACCCTCTAGCACCCACCCTTAGCATACGCACCATAGAAGGTGCTAGTGTGTACCTAACATGGAACCTCCTCATTGGGGAGGAAGAATGGGAAACATGCTGAGTAGAGAGACAAGGGAGGGAGGTGGTTATGCGTTCCTCCCTTAACACTTGCTCCCGCTGTTGAAGGAAATATTAGGCCCACTGTATACAAAATATCTTTGGTTCTTGGCATAAGGCTAAGCAAGACTACTCTTGGTTATATTGAGTTGCTTATCTCTAATTGCTAAAATTTGAAAAATGCTTCATTCTTGTGAATTCTGAGATAGGAGTGAAATTTGAGGTGTCATTTGGCCATTCCTCTGTCCCCAAGCAGAATGGCACCCAACTTGGAGAGCTAATTTTCTTTAGATATCCAGCACATTCCTCAGTCTGCTTTAGCAGTTCATGCCATTGCCTTCTTAATGGTCAAGAAAACTGACTCTCTGGGCCTTTGTATCTCTCTTTCAGGTCTAACTTCAAACTTGTGGCTGTTAATTCAAAACTCTATGCCATTGGTGGGCAGGCCGTTTCTAATGTTGAGTGTTACAATCCCGAGCAGGATGCCTGGAATTTTGTGGCACCCTTACCAAATCCTCTGGCTGAGTTCTCTGCGTGTGAGTGTAAGGGAAAAATTTATGTCATTGGAGGATATACGACCAGAGGTAAGTGAAGGGGCCAAGTAAGTGATCCTTTTCCACGTGAGCTTGGGCAGCCTGGGGAAACGCTCTGATATTGTAATTTCATACGTTATATACTGGATATTTGCATATCTGGGAGGAAGAGAGTTGAGTATTATAAGGGTACTTTGGACAGAAAGGACCTTTGATCCCTTTGTGTGAGCATGAAAATTGAATGGGGTAGAGGATGTGATGAAGAGAATATGTATTTTCTTTCTGCTCTGGAAACCCAGCCTTGTGACCAGCTGTCTTGTGACTGGACTGGGTAAGTGCCATCCTTCTCCCAAACACATTTAACACTATGGAATTTAGGGCCAGAACATCCTTGTGGATCTGTGTTTTCACTTTCTTCGTTCTTGAGCACAAACATATCAGACAGTTTCCAGAAGCTCAGCTCAAGGCTGTTGTTCACATAGTGTAAGAGGATTACAAGACACACGAATATAAGAGAATTTTTTCCTGACCAGAGGTGGGAGGTGGTTGTGCTATTTATTGAACTGTACTGTTTTCGGTGGGCATTTGGCATTAATAATTTGGAAGTAAGTTTCTCCAGTAGGTTTTATACTGCCGTTCTCGGTAGATAGCATCTCACGTGACCGTGACAAACTTGGTTGTGTTAGGAGGCGGTGGTGGGCCATCAGGTAGAAGTGCGTCTTGCCTTTTATCTCTCTCCCCCACTTGTGTCCGAGTTACCTCTGGGCCAAAGAAATTTATTTATTTTTTATTTTTTAAAAAAGATTTTATTTATTTATTTGACAGCAATAGAAAGCGCATATCTTTTAGGGGGCCACTGTTGAACTCAGTACAGGTGCTGTGTTTATGCATCTAAGGAGAGGCAGTGACCAAGAGAAATGCATGGGAAGCAGTGAGCTTTTTTTTTTTTTTTAATGCCCTCAAGTTTTTATCCCCGTGGAGCTAGTCCCAGTGCCTCTCCCTCATGACTTTCCACTAAAGATAAGAAAATTGCCAGCTTTTTTGGGTAACAAAAAATTGAAAAAAAAAAAAAAAAAGAGAGAGAGAGAGAGAGACCTAGCAGCCATTTCTTTTACCTTCCACATTGGTATTTGGGTACAGTGGTCAACTTCATGTGCTTAACGAAACCATAGCCCCCAGAGAATTCCTGTGTGTGCATATGTACCTCTGGGTATCTGTGTGTCTGTTCTCTTAGGAAAGTAAATACAGTTATTTACTTTTGAACATTTCTAAGAATTCTGATTCCTCCCTAGATTTTGTAACCCAGAATGCACCCTGTGGGCTGACATAATGCACACATATCCCTTGGCTTTTCTTGCGACCAGGAGCTGGGAAGCACTGACAGGCAGCACTGTAACCCAAGAGTGCTCTGCTGGTAGATTTCCTAGTTTTTCCATGACCCTGGCTGAGCAAATGTTCTTTAGATTTGACCTGGAAAACCCTTGTTTGTGTGTTTTCTAGTTTCTCAAGCCACTACTAATGTACCTTCTTCACTCAGGCCACCCATGGTGATTCCTGCCCTGGATTCCCCGAGCCAAATACCTGTGATGGGATGGTTGGGTGATGTGGATGGATGAGTGTTTGTGTAAGGGTTGAAAACGGGTTTTCTGAGATGAGAGGGCGGGACAGTTCCTTGTACTCTGAAACACCCCCTCCTCTTCTGTGTGGGATCTTCCCAGCACTACCTAATAGTTACCTTTAAAATAAGGAATCAGGGGCGCCTGGGTGGCTCAGTGGGTTAAAGCCTCTGCCTTCGGCTCAGGTCATGATCCCAGGGTCCTGGGATCGAGCCCCGCATTGGGCTCTCTGCTTGGCGGGGAGCCTGCATCCGCTCCTCTCTCCGCCTGCCTCTCTGCCTAATTGTGATCTCTGTCTGTCAAATAAATAAATAAAATCTTTAAAAAAAAAAATAAGGAATCATAACTGTCATAAAACAGAATGCAGGGCTCAAAGTTGGGCTCTTGGCTGGCTGACTTCTTAAGTTAGGTAGACTTTTAAAATTTAGGAAGTAATAGTTCATGATTTTTATGACAGCTGTTTGATTATATTGATTCTGTAGCAGGCATTGAGGAAATTAAAGGAAACCCCATAGAGAGCAATAGTAACCACTCAAGGGAAGAAGGGTGATTTGCTGAAATTCAGAATCACCTTTCAGTATAAAAGCAAAAAGGTTATTCCACCAACTCAGACCACCTCATCATGGTCTGAGCCCTGGTTGGGTGAGGAGAGAAAACATTTACAGAAGACCTGGGAAGACCTTCAGACCTGGAACGGAGAAATAAGTCCTTTATTCATGCGGTGGGAAGCCAGGTTACTAAGGAGCACTTTTGATACATTGGAACCAAACTCCCTTGGACTGTCTCTGGAATGAGTTTCTTCACAATACCTACAATAAAAAGAAATACAAGGAGGTATTAGTGTGGGTGGAAAAGAGAGGGACCATTTCCTAAAGCTGTAGCAATTCTGAAATTTCTACAGGTGGGGGGACACGTGCACACACAGGGCTCGGTCTCCTTTCCGTTCTTTCTGTGCCCTCTAAGAGGCCCTTGACTTGATACCAGAGGTGGGGGTGGAGCTCCTTCATCTTTGCTAACTGGGGGGTGGGTCCCTCTGTGTCAGGAGGAAGTGTTCTACCCTTTAGTTCCACATCTCTTCCCAAGCTGAGTTGTCTCTTACACTGATGGATTTTGTTGTTTGTTTAAACAACAACAACAACAACAAAGAGAAAGTTCATTCTTTCTGATAACTCAGAGCATTTTTTCTGCTGAGGCTAAAATATGCCACTTATTCTTTCCTAGAGGAGAAGAGGATAAAAAAGAACAATTAAAAAAAGAAAAATGAAACTAGTTATTTTAAATTTCACAAGCATTTTTCAAAAAGAGAGTAGGCAGTATTTTTCCTTAAAGCAGCTGAGAATTCAAGATAATGTTAGAGTAGCCTTTGATCTACTTTCTGATTTTATCCACACAAGAACCAGCCATCTCTGGGGAAGCAGGCTTCAGGGAGAGGGAAGAGCCTTTGTGAGTATGTCTCTGCTGTTATAGTTGGGACATTGAATTGCCAAGTGATTCTATGGCTTGAAGGCCACAGTGAGAATTTCTGGGGTTTCTCCTGACTTGCAGTTGTGTGTTGTTTCCTTTAGACTAACCCCTGAAGATCTTGCTTGGCTCACTTGTCTTGTTTAGTAGAGTTGATTGTCAAGAGTAGATCCCTTGGGACTCCGCCGGTCACCTGTATTAAGACGTCAGTAATTTGTAGCGATTGAGGAGAGTTCCAAGGCTCTGATTCTTTTTACATTGGACTGGTGGTTCTAAAATGCTCCAATCGGGCGCCTGGGTGGCTCAGTGGGTTAAGCTGCTGCCTTCGGCTCAGGTCGTGATCTCGGGATCCTGGGATCGAGTCCCGCATCGGGCTCTCTGCTCAGCGGGGAGCCTGCTTCCCCCTCTCTCTCTCTCTGCCTGCCTCTCTGTCTACTGTGATCTCTCTCTGTCAAATAAATTAAAAAAAAAAAAATTAAAATGCTCCAATCACAGCAGGCCGTGTCCTGGCCCTCTTGATTCTGAGAGCCTCCCAGGGAGGGGACATCCCCAGGGGGTTGGTTCTAAGCAGATGATCTCCCAGCCATTACTGTTGTCCCAACCTCTGCTTCTCTGGAGTCGTTTTGCCTCTGACCAGATGGTCCAGGCGGGGGCAGATGTTATCACAGTGTGCGTGGGCAGTGGTGCTCCTCACGGCCATGTCCTCATTTGGCTTCTTTCTTCCTTTCAGACCGCAACATGAACATTTTGCAGTATTGTCCCTCGGCCGACATCTGGACACTGTTTGAAACCTGTGATGTCCACATTCGCAAGCAGCAGATGGTGTCTGTTGAGGAGACCATCTACATCGTGGGCGGCTGTCTGCACGAGCTGGGGCCCAACCGGAGGAGCAGCCAGAGCGAGGACATGCTCACGGTGCAGTCCTACAACACCGTCACGCGGCAGTGGCTCTACCTCAAGGAGAACACGTCCAAATCGGGGCTTAACTTGACTTGCGCGCTCCACAACGACGGCATCTACATCATGAGCAGAGACGTGACCCTGTCCACCAGCTTGGAACATCGAGTTTTTCTCAAGTACAACATCTTCTCAGATAGTTGGGAGGCATTCAGGCGTTTCCCGGCCTTTGGACACAACTTGCTGGTTTCCTCTCTTTATCTGCCCAATAAAGCAGAAACATGACTGAACCAACTTAGGATTTAAAAGAAACCTGGTTCAAGGCAGAAAAAGAAAAAAGTAGTGTCCCATTTCCAGGGAGGCTAATTTCTAAAGGGAAAAAGTGGGTTAAAGTAGGTCACATGTACAATAGCTGTAAATAAGCTTACTTGAACTGATTACTTGAAAACTTGTGGAGAAAAGAGACCAACTTTGTTATTTTTTTAATTATTGATTTTTAAATGATGGGATCAAATCCATGATACTATTTTCATCAAATATGGTACCCTTGGGCCAGTGACTGAAACTGATCAACGAAAAGAAGATTCATTGTGTCTGCTTTAGTAAAGGACCAAAGTCAATAGTTGATGTGAATGGTAAAGATCATTTTAAAATCCGTTTTATTTAGGTCACTTGAAATATCATTAATACCTTAAGTGAGAGATTTTTCATTTACTTGAGATACATTTATATTAACACTGTCATTCACCGCTTTTCTCCCCTATTCATACCCACATATACTTCCAGTGGTTTAAAAATAGGGTTCTGTGTTTATTTTATTTGCACACTACTTTCCAGGAAACTTACCATGATGGAGCCCTAGAGTGAGTCCTTACAAGCTTCCAGTCCTCCCAGAACCTTTCTTAAAAACCTTCTCAGCTATTTTCCCAAACTTTTTTGCAATTATGTGTACTGAATAGACAGACAGGTGTAACCTCTTATTTCATTTAGGTGGCAGATTGCAAATTTATGTGGTCAGATAAGCTGCATTGCTAGGCATTCTGTGTTGTTTAAAAGAGAGGATATATTGTTTAGAAGGATGGAGATATATATATATATATATTTTTTTTTTTTTTGAAATCAAGTCTTAAATTTAAATGGGAAGGGAAGACCAAATAAGAAAAAAAAAAAAATTGCCTTTAAGAGTTACTTTTGATGAATGTCTTTGACTTAGTTCTGTTTTTAAGATAAGAAAGATAAGTTCATCATCTTTAGATCAGACATCTTTCTAATTTAACCTTAGCCTTTAAATTCACGCTTTGCTTTTATGAGGGAAGGTGAGGATAGCTGTGGGACTTTGCTGCTGGAGAGGGAAGAAACTCTTGTGGAAGAGGAATGGCCTCTGGTGGTATCTCTGAAATTCGGAAAGTTTCTCCGCTTGCCTTGGTGGTTGAGTCAGATGGAGCCCAGCTCCAGCAGTTGTCAGTAAGTCAGCTAACACGAATATAAAGTTTCTGCCAGTCATAGCTCCATCCCTTTAAAAAATATATATACTTAAAGAAATGTTATTCTTTCTGAGCGTCTCTGATCTTTTGTAATAGGATGGTGAAGCTGGGAGCTGGAGTCCATCCTTCTGCTCTAACATTCCAGTTACAGCGCACCTCACTTTAAGAACATCCCGCAGAAAAACAAAAAACAAAAAACTGTCATGGCAAATCCATGTGTTCTGCGAGGTTACCCAGCGCCTCGGGTAGGCATTCATCCTGCGGACATGGTGCAGAGGGCTGGTCACTTTGGCAGAGCTCGCCAGGTTCTCACAAGGTCACTACAGGGTTTCTTGACAACCATGGCCTGCAAGCAGAGTGAAAATCAGGGTCTGGTTGTAAAAATTCTATTTGCACAACTTTTTAGGAATATTTCTATTAAGTAAATTGAGGCAAGCCTTTATTGTGGACCTAGGAACAGTTCTTGGATCTTGTCACCAAATAATCATATCGGTACTCTACATACATTACTTAAGGGTTTCTAAGCCATACCCATTTATTCTCAAATACTCAGCCTTTTTTTTTTTTAAATCTGAACTGAAATCTTGGGGATGATACTTTAATAATAGATTTATATTAATTTATATTCATTATGGAATTGAATTTCCAGTGACCTATAATTTCATTGCATATATTTAAAAATCTAATTTATTTTAGATAGTGTTAACTTTTGTTGCTACAGATCTTAACTTTTTTAAAGCTTCACGTTGTATATTCTGAAGAGTCTAGCCAGTTGAATTAGTTCTGGGCAATTAGACCTTAGCTTGTAAATAACCATATCATTTAAATGTAATATTATTGCTGCCAACCAGTTCTCTTCCTGGTTACATTCTTAGGGTCTGTTTCCCTCATGCCAACAATTAGATTCTTGGACCAAGTGAAGGCATACTCTGATCCACAAAGCTTTTTTTTATAAACCAGGTTTAATATGTATGTGCATATTGTGTGTGTGTGTGTGTGTGTGTGTGTGTGTGTGTGCATGCATGTCCTGGCATATTGCTCTAAGATACCCAGACGTCTAACAATGTTTTTGTCACTCTGGACTGCCAGCTGTACTTGGGTGAGGAGGAATGGGTAATAGGAACTGATCTGTGGATTTGGGTCATCATTCTTCCTGCTGTGCACATCAGCTATGTTGGCATTTTGAGGATAATTTTAATTTAGCTCTATTCTCACATTGGTGCCAATGTTGTAGTGAAGACTCTACCCATGATGAGGGAATGTTGTTTTGAAAAGTCCCTGTCATCCCCCAGGACTTTGCTTTTTTTTTTTTTTTTAATTAAGTGTTTATTTTAATTCTAGTATAGTTAACATACAGTGTTATATTAGTTTCAGGTGTACAATGTAGTACTCTTTGATAATACTCTTCTGTTTTCTTCCTTTCTCTAAATGCTTCTTCCTTCTTTTCTGACATGCTTCTGAGGCGTGCCAACCTCCCACGGTGGGGAGGAGAGTTAGCGGGAGGACCCCTGCTAGTGGGAGCCACCTCGCCAGAAGAAACCCGTTTTATGAAGAATGGTCTGGGTGGCAGAGGGAGGTTGGTTCTCCCTGTCATTCTTTCTGGCTTTCTTCTTAACATTCTTGGTTTCAGAGGCCTCTCCCCTTAGCATCCTTGGAAGTTTTTCTGATTAAAGAGTAGGAGTTGATTATTTCAACAGTGTGGGTTAAGTCATAACAATGAAGTACTGAGAAGGTTTTGGATTCTATTAAGAAACAAATAGATTAAGCATGAATACCAAAGAGAATTGAGCTCGGCCATGTTTTCTTGAACCAAAATCCCAAGTAATTCCAAAAGCCTTAGATGTCAGTTAAAGTTGTACTGAGATGGACAAAGCTCTTTCTCTCCAAAGGGAATTAGAAGGAAATACTTGTTTTCTTTCAGTAAAGAATTACTTAATGAGCATTGTGGATGTCATGTTTTCAGATTTCCAGGTAAAGTCATGACCCTACTTGTTTGGCCGCACAGGTAAATCGAGTGGAAAGGCCTTGGCCTTCTTGATTAACCAGCGTCTAATGAGCAGTGGCTTAATGCAGAGCACTCGTGAGGCAGCATAGTGATAGAAAGGGAACATGGGTGAGTTGTTGGATGTCTTTTCCTTGACCAGGGCTGGGGAATATATAACTTCTGTGCCACCGTTCTCTGATGGTGGCATCATGAATCAGTAGCACTCCCTTCCTCTGTGCCAGGAATTGGTCTCACAGTCCATGTCATCAGAGCTGCCTGGCATCCATTGCCCAGCCATCAGAGTGAGATGAATGAAGTCTCTTTCTCATCCTGCCTTAGAGGAGTGAATGAAATAGTGAGTAGATACCATCCAGATTGGCTTTTTAAAAATTTTATTTTATTTATTTATTTGACAGAGAGGGATCACAAGTAGGCAGAGAAGCAGGCAGAAAGCAGGCTCTCTGCTGAACAGAGAGCCTAATGTGGGGCTCGATCCCAGGACCCTGAGATCATGACCTGAGCCGAAGGCAGAGGCTTAACCCACTGAGCCACCCAGGCGCCCCCAAGAAAGGCTTTGAAAGCACTGAGCTGATTCAGCTCCATTCCCTGGTTCCCAGAAATACTGAAAGTCTGTTGTGTGCAGGACAATATTAAGAACTAGGGATAAAGACATAAATGAGTCCTGTCCCCTGACCTGGAGAGCTTACAGCCTTGTGAAAATGTTTGCCATATCATTGTAACCCATGTCCTCTAAGATGCCCACCTTTGTCGGGCATACTGGGGCTCTGTGGCCTGGCTGCCTCTCGTCTATCCACTGCTTCATGATCTAACAATTCTTATGAACCAGCTTTTCTCTAAATTTGAACATCACAACTTAAGTTCTAAGGGTTTGCTTTTTTTCTCACTACCTTTCATAGTCTTCTCTGTACTTCATTTTTCAAAAAAAAAAAAAATATGTGATCTGCTTTAAAGATAATTACTAGGCACACAGCTTATGTGGCTAAGGGCTCAACAGCTCAATCCCTTGAGCAGGGGGAGCAAAGTCAGGGAAGTGAGTATTGGGGGAGAGGGGAGCTCTTCACATGTGTGCTTGTACCTATGCCTTTAAAACACTTCCATAAAAAGCATTACTAAATGGTCATTAAGACACTGGTCCTGACGGAAAGTCGGTTGATGCTACCTGTGTGATCACTTATCAAAGGGTGGTTTTCTGTCCTTATGTTTCATTCATGTAAGAATATTTGCTGTTTTTCATTCTCTTATGTTAATTTAGGAACACGGTATAAAATACATACCAATGGACATAATGCTAACTTTTGCACTTGACATAACCATTTTTATCATTCCTCTAGAACACATTAAATGTAAAAGATGGTCAATTTTGAGGAGCAAAAGGCCGCTGAGAGGATTTTGGTAGGGTTGGCTGCTGCTTTCTCAAATGGATGTCACAGTTTGTTCCTAGTAAAGAAAAGGAAAATGTAATTTGCATTATTGTGTCATTTTTCTAAGAAAAATCTTAATGGGGTTCTTTAGATGTCTCTACAATGTTTTCATATGTAGTGGTTATTTTAGAAGAGTGGATAATCTGTAGAATGAACAATTATGTTTTGTTATGACTGACACTTTGTTAAAAAGGTTGTATTGTGTCTTCAAGTATGGCTTACAATGTAAACACTATGATATGATTCGTTCAAATACAATGATGCCTCTGATGCCCTCACTCAAATAGCATCTGTTCTGTGTTTGTAACTAGAACCGTAGAAGAAAATCTCTTCAAATAAAATAGTTCAAAATCTTAGCAATCTAAATGTTGTCCATTAGGTACTGTGTACCAGCCGTGTGGTTGGGGCTGTGTGGAGCAGAGAGGACAC